GCCGTTGACCCTGAAAGGGTTAAACCATATCATTATGTATTACTCTGTATGCAGGAAGCCGCTTAGGTTAATATGTTACACAATTCCTGCTCTGATGCAATAAACTATGCTAAAATATGAAATTATTACAATATCCAGTACACAAAAAATCTATTTAAAGGACCACTATAGGCACCCAGACCACTTCAGATCAATGAAGTGATCTGGGTGCCAGGTCCACCTAGGATTAACCCTTTCTGTTGTAAACATAGCAACTGCTATGTTTACTTTAGGGTTAATCCAGCCTCTAGTGGCTGTCTCATTGACAGCCGCTAGAGGCGCTTCCGCGCTTCGCACTGTGATTTTCACAGTGAGAAGACGCCAGCATCCATAGGAAAGCATCGAGAATGCTTTCCTATGAGACTAGCTGAATGCGCAAGCAGCTCTTGCCGCGCATGCGCATTCAGCCGATGACTGGGAAAGGAGGAGGAGAGTCTCCAGCACCGAGGGAGCCCGGCGCTGGAGAAAGGTAAGTGCTTAACCCCTTCCTCTCCATCCAGCCCAGTGGAAGTGAGACCCTGAGGGTGGGGGCACCCTCAGGGCACTATAGTGGTCCTTTAAAAAAAAAAAAAAAGACTTCAAGATACAGGACAGAACAATAGTGGAACTGCATCTGGATAGTCTGGCAGTATGCTTTCACTAACACAGTGCTGGAACTGGGGGGACATTTTCAGAAAGTACAAAGTGCTCTTATTGCGTGATATATTATATTAATATTATTTAAAAACCCGTTCTGTCACTTACCTGAGTCCAGCACTGATGACCTTCGGTGCTGGCTCGGGCTCCACCTCTTCCCCTCTGACGTTAGCCGGCATGGGAAACCAAATGCACATGCGCGGCAATGGCCGAACTCGCATTGGTATTTCTGCCATAGAAAAGCATGTATAATGTTTTCCAACTGGGTTTGAGTGATGCTGGATGTCCTCATGCATACTGTGAGGACGTCCAGCGTTAGTTAGGCGGCCAAAACAGGCCTAACGACCTCAAAGTCCCTCTAGTGGCTGTCTCATAGACAGCTACTAGAGTTGGAGTTAACCCTCAAATGGTAATTATTGTAGTTTGCTAAAAACTGCACTAATTAACTTTTAAGAGTTAAGGAACCTGGGACTATGGTCCCAGACCACTTCAATGAGCTGAAGAGTCTGTGTGTCTATCATAACCTAGTGGTTAAGCTTTTTGTTTTTCAATCTGGAAGCCAGAGTCTGAATCTTGTATGGGCAATGGCATAAAATATTTTCTTTGTTTTTGATTCAGCAAAAATCATAATAATAAAGGCAATGGATATATTATTTTACATGGGCCATCACATATAAAAAATAAACAGACTTATTAACTCTTGCATGTACAAATGTTAAATATTATAACATTACATAAACAGAGAAAAGAGATTGTGGTGTAGGGACAACCAGCACCACTATCTCATCAGAGGTTACAGGATGTATCCACAGGGCATAACCCTAAGAAAAATAGTGCAAATTACTCCTTGAGAGTAGATCAAACCCACTCCACCTGAAAGAACCTCCTAAAATTAAAATCTCATATTGTAATATAATCTTTATTAAGCCGAATAATACACAAAAATAATAAACTAAATAAACAGTGTGTGTGACCCCCACTAACTGTGTGTAAATACAAAAAGGTGTGATACACTTAAAAACTGGGTAAGTCAGTCCCCAACACCACATTAAGTAGTAGAGGACCCAAAATTCAAAGAGTAGTTATCCTAAGATGGATTAAATCAATTTGAAGAAGAGGGACCTCTATACTATCGGTATAGTGGTAATATAGATCAGAGAGATAATGTAGATCCTGCAAATGCAATAAACGTCCTGGTATAACCTAGAGAGACTAAAGATGCACGTAATGAATACCCTACACTGGATATAACGTGTGCATAGCTCTAGGTATAAGTGCAGTAATTGCAATTGGTCCGGATAGTAAATAAGTTATATAATAAGCTAGAAGGTATGAGATATTGACACTTAGTGTCAGATCAACGTCATAACATCGTGGGGAGTAGATCAGAGTGTCGCAATCAAAAGGCAACAGTGATTGAAAAGTAACTAGTATAGGTCTATAAACAAAAATGCTGGACTCAAAAAATATGTACAAGAATTAATCACATGAGCGTATCAGCAAAATGGTTCCTTCATAGTATAAGGCAATACCAGAAAGTTTAAAGCTTCCAAATACTCCTAATGCCCTAAACAGGTAGCGAGTCACCTAGGTAAAAAAGGGGTAGTATCAGCTAGAAAGCAATCTTTATTAAGACGAATAATACACAAAAAGACACAAATAATAAACTAAATAAACAGTGTGTGTGACCCCCACTAACTGTGTGTAAATACAAAAAAGTGTGATACACTTAAAAACTGGGTAAGTCAGTCCCCAACGCCACATTAAGTAGTAGAGGACCCAAAATTCAAAGAGTAGTTATCCTAAGATGGATTAAGTCAATATGAAGAAGAGGACACAGATATATGGGAATTCCAAGTTAAGGCCAATGTATTAAGACGCCAATTTAGGGAGAAGGGGTATCCCAATAAGTGCCTGGAGCGAGCATATAAAAGGGCACTTGAGATCAATAGGGATGACCTCCTTTCTGATCCCCCGAAAGATGATAAATTCATCACTAAGAATATAAGGATGATTGGAACCTATGATACAGGCTGGAATGAAGTAAAAAAAAAAAAAAGTCTGTGCAGAGATTCTGGCCGATCTTACTTAAAGACGCCCATCTAAAAGATGTCTTGGGCCCCCAAGCAACCATTACCGTACGCAGGGGGAAGAATCAAAAGAAACACTCCATGCACATAACCCTTACAAGCCCTCTATAGTGGTTCTGGCTCCATCCCAGTGAAACCTGTCAAGCTGTTTTAGCGGTGTTTGACCCACAGCTGGGGCCTGCCAGGAGTCTGACCTGAACACCCAGGACCATAGCCATTATAGGGGCTGCAGTGGTTATGGTGTTTGAAGTGTTCCTTTAATAACCAACTTGTAGATTTGTTTAATACATGCTGTTCAAGTTAAGGACCGCTTGAGTCAGGTTTAAATATAGCAGTAAATATTATTCCTAGAATAATAATTTTCATTCCATTAACCTTTTTCCTTTCAGATTTACCAGCAATTACAGCTGATAATGTGAGTACTGACATTTTTTTTTCTATATTCCTTACTTATTCTGGATAGAACAGCTCTTTAAATAATACTATCCGAACAGGGCCATTGCTTTCCAATGTCCCATGAAATCACAAGCAGCACTCTGTGACCCCTCAGTGGATAAGAGCAGACGCTGGTGTAGTAACTGTGAGGCCCACCGATTTAGTGTGGCAGGACACCCATAAAATGCCACCCTTGGTTTTCACACTGTGTGCAAGCAGGCCACGTGTAAAGTAATGGCAGTTACAAATGTGCCAGCCTATTTCACCTTTAGTCTAAGGCAGTGATGGACAAGAGGTTGATTATCCAGCTGATTGAGCACTACAGTTCCCATGATGCTTTGCCAGCCTTGCAGTTGGCAGACTAATTTTAGACCAGAGCAGGTTTAGAATATAATTAGGAGCAATCTCAAAAGCAGGTCTAACTAAGCATTAATGTGTTATTGTAGTAACTAGAATTTAAAAGGACACTGTAGTCACCAGAACAACTACAGCTTATTGCATTTGTTCTGGTGAGAAGAATCAGTCCCTTCAGGCTTTTCAGAGAAAATTCAGTGTTTATATTACAGCCTGGTGATAACTCCACTGGCCACTACTCAGGTGGCTGCTAGAGCTGCTTCCTGGGGCAGTGCTGCAGAGTAAGCAGCACTGCCATTCAATGTCTCCACACTCTGCATGCAGACACTGAACTTTCCTCATACCCATGCATTGATTAAATTCATCTCTATGAGGAGATTCTGATTGGCCAGGGCTGTGTTTGACTTGTGCTGGTTCTGCCCCTAATTTCCCCCCTTGACAGTCTCAGCCAATCCTATGGGGAAGCACTGTTATTGGCTCAGACCACCACCTCTGATGTCAGCAGACCTGGGCAGTTCACAGGCAAACAGGGACAGTGGTAGCAGCTACAGACTTGCATACAAGTAAGATTGCACTATATTTAGGGAGGCAAGAGGAAGCCAGGGGGCTAGATGGTTGCTTTAACACTATAGGGGCAGGAATGCATGTTTTTGTTTAAATGTTACTTTTACACTCTTTTACTGAAATGTCAAACAGAGAATACTCTTCAGAAAGCGTTGCATGTAGCAGTTCTCAAATATATTGTGATTGCATCACTGGATGCTTTTTGTTGCTTACAAACAGTTGCTGCCATGGGCAGCAGGTCAAGGCACAACAAACACATTTTAAGGAAACACTCCAAGGATCATAAACACTACCCAAGTGTTTGTAGTAGTTATGGTGCATGTGGTGGTCTGGTGACCCTCCTCTAGCATTGTAAGTAGTCAAACAATTTTAGAACAGTATGACTTCTTACCTGGGGTCCTCTGAGTGCTGCTTCCCGCCTACAACACTTCAGTCGGAGTTATATCTGATCTAAGCCCTGCTGTGCAAGGCTAGCTTATTGGCTGATAAAGCATTGGCTAAGAGCGATCAGCTGACGCTAAACCCTGCACTGCCCTGTCTACCTCCCTGTAGTGGAAGCAGGGAATTGTGTCCAGCAGACCCCAGGTTAGAAGTCATACTGTTCTAAAAGAGCTTACATTGGGGGAGCATAACGATTACAATGCGCTGCAGTGGTTATGGTGTTTGTAGTGTTCCTTTAAACTCAAAAGGTGAGCACTAAACTAGACACTTCATGTATCTTATAATCTTAGTGGTGACACTGGTGAATAGTGATGTCGCGAACCGTTCGCGAACTTCCCACGAACGGCTCGCCACGAACCGTTCACGGCGAGCTCCGGTCAGCTGACACATCCCGGCCAATCTCCAGCAGACCCTCCCTCCCAGACCCTCCCACCTCCTGGACAGCAGCTGACACATCCCGGCCAATCTCCAGCAGACCCTCCCTCCCAGACCCTCCCACCTCCTGGACAGCATCCATGTTGAAGCTGCCTTCAACATGGATGCTGTCCAGGACGTGGGAGGGTCTGCTGGAGATTGGCCGGGATGTGTCAGCTGACCGGAGCTCGCGGCGAGCCGTTCGCGAACGGTTCGCAACATCACTATTGGTGAATAGGATACACATCAATTTGTTCTTTCACTGACATTATAGCGATAATATGTACACAATATAAACCAGTGTGATGATGGTAGATCTAATATGTACATCACTGCTTTGCAAATAAAATACACATGATGTATTCCCTTTTACAGCCCATTATTTACTCAGTGGTGAAGAGAAGAGTTTCCAACCAAGCAACACCAGAATCTTGTGAGAGCATCTATAACAATATCAGCTTTAACTAGCATTGGGGAGCTGTCACTGGCTGTCATGGCCTCATAATGCCACATATGTAGCTGATAAAGTAAAGCCAAAACTCTACACATCCTGCTAATTAATCTCATTCCTATACCTACGCATGCTACCGTCTAACCTGGAATGATGCTTCTACAGCTTGGACTTCCTGCCAATGGGACATAATCATCTCACATGCTTCGTATTTCAGCAATAAAGGATAAAATACTGGATTACTTACTGCTCATTACCCTCCATAAGGAATCCAGCTTAAATTTTCTCAGTGTTTATGTTACAAGCAAATCAAGCTGCCCTGGACACTCGTAGAGCAATTTATTTCTAAATGTTGTCCAAGAAAAACTCTAAACTTTGTCCCACGTCAATGCAAAACTCTGTTGTACCAGGAAGATGGGTGTGACATATTAAGATGATGTCGGTGAGGGCTACTCGGATAAAGCATTGTTTAATGCCTGGTTTCAAGGACAGAGTGGCCAATAGTATGTAATGGGGTTCCTGCCACCTATACAGCACAAGATGCAGTTACATGGTGTGGTAGACTAGAGCAATATGGCACCTAGAATAGTGTTTCTACTCCTTTAACCCCTTAAGGACCAAGCTTCTGGAATAAAAGGGAATCATGACATGTCACACATGTCATGTGTCCTTAAGGGGTTAAACATGATTCGCAGATCAGTGTATCTTTGGACGAGATATTTGGAAGTTTGCTGGAGTCCGTGTTATAGTCTTGTTACCATCTTACTAACTATGATATGTTCTCTGAGAATTCCCTCAAGTCATTAATAAGCGAGATTATATGGGAGACACTTACATCAGTCCCTGTCAAATTAAATCACAGTTTACTCTTCATCTGAACGTGGGGGGAGTGAAGCTCACAAACGTGGACACAGGGTAATCAGTTCAAATTGTAATAAAATTTTACCCGAGTTGTTAATGTTGGGGGAACAGATAATGAGTGCACTTCAACCTGTTTGTGGATGAATGAAGAGTTAATGATGGCAAAACATTAGATTTTTTTAAAGTTAAATAATTTGGACAGCACTGAAATAAACAAGGTCCAATTATTACTGTGTTTGTAATTTTTCTTCACTGTAGGTACAATTCTCATGTTCCAAGAAACACTTCACCAAAAATGTACAGAAGAGGTATAAAACACACACATTAGTCTTGTCAGCACTCTAACAGAGAATTCTCACTCACCTTGATTCACCCAATGGCCATGAACCCAGACTCACGGTTCATGAAAGAATATCTATGATTGCTCTAGTATTTTGTCCACCATTGCATTGCTTAGTAGCTGTGATTGTTTGCTTTCTCAAGAAATAACACGCCTGCTGTTTAGTTACTGACATCAAGGTGAGGCAGGAGAAGTAGATACTTTGGAAGGTGGGACGGAAGGAGAAGCTAAAATATTGTAACAGGAAAAACATTTACTTTTTGGACACTACCATGTGTGATCATTGTGACAAAAACAATGTATTTTATTTGCCCAGGTACTATAAGTCGGGCACTTAACCTCATGAACACCAGTAAAAATCACACGAACGCCTGCTTCTTTCCACAACAAGCCATGAGAGCGCGGTTTGGTAGGATTCTTCGAATGAAAAAGGCAAACAACTGCTACCTACGAGCCAGGGGAACTGTTCGTCTGTTTGTTCGTATGGAACTCCCGCAAGTGACCGAGTGCTACCACTATTTCTATGGAACTAATTTGGGCAGACGCCACATGTGCAGTCGGTCAAAACTTTACCCCTGTGGTGATTCGGCTGTGTTCGTGGGTTATGAGCACTATTTGGACAACTTGGGCGCTCAGATCCAGGCTATCCAGGGATATAATATTTGTGGGGGTTCCTGTATGTATTTTGTAATTTTTATAAGTATTTTGGGGTATTTTAGGTTTTATGATTTGTACCTCCAGTGCCTGGGAGATAATTAGTTTAAGTACACTAAATTATCTCTTAGACACAGAGACACCTGGGAGTGTCGGAGTGTGTTTTGGGCATGTTCTTCTATGTCCTTGCTTGAGACCCCATGCTGGGGGTCTGTGTATATAAGTGGGTCACCTGGCCATAATAAAACATTCCCGTTGTACCCTTCATCAAGTCTCGAATGATATTTGGGTATGTGAACTGCTTGATTTATTCTCATCACCAGCTTGGATTTTGGGAAAGTACAAATCAGCGCACTATGCGAACGGGCTATAATCACTAAGTCCCTAGCATTTCGGGAGTGTGTGAACAAACGTACGTCACGAAGTACCCGAGGTTCGTTACAATCATTCATTATTTTGGAACAGAGGAACTAGAAATTATAGTTATGGGAATACTCCAAGCACTGTAACCACTACAGCACACTATAGTGGTTATGGTGTCAGGAGTGCCCTAATATCCTCACATTTTAAATAGTCAACACATTTTAGAATGTTTAGACTTTTCACATTGTGCCCGCCAGGCACCACTCCCTGTCTTCTGAATTACCAGGTTTAGCTCAGGCAGAGCTTAGGTAAGAAGTCTATTCTAAAACGGTTTGTCTACTTACAATGTAGGAACTACAGGTCACTTCTGCCACCATAACCACTACAACATGCTGTAGAGTTTATGATACTTGGAGTGATCTTTTAAGGCACAACACAAATAGTTTTGTTTATATAATTTTCATGATTTCATTCTGCTGATAAAAAGCTATTAAAACATGACCATAATGCTGCAGTCAGTTGATAGCTTTAATCAGCAACATCTCTAAAGAGGAACTGTCACTTCTCTGGAATTAGCACATTTGAAAACACATATAAAAAAAAAAAAACATAACTATTAAAGGGACATGTATCACTTGACATTTTTTTTTAACTAGCAAACAAAACACATTTAAACAAATATACAAACCAAACTAAAGCAAAAAGAACTTTGAGGAGTACGTAATAAATGATAATAAACGTACTATAAACATGGTCAGATTGTTCCAGCCATGGGAGTTTCTTTAACCAGCCCCTTTGTTTCCCAACCACCTCAGTTTCAGATTGGTACACTAATGATAGAAACAGGGAATCATTGTGTGCAGTACCAGGCTCCTCATTCTCCCCGCAGGGATTAATGAAGTAGGGAGAGAGAATCCTGACACCGGAGCGTGCACTGCATGGATCAGACTCCCTCTCTTCTCCCCCTGTCAAGAGGTTGTAAGGTAAAGACATCTTCCAACTGCACATGTGCAAATCTGTCAGAACAATGCACTTTTCCAGCATTCTTAGGGATAGGACACCGATTGACTAGAGCAGTGTTCCCACTAAAGTGGGTGTGGAAAGCATAAGAAAGAAGAAGCAGGTAAATATGGTTAAAGAAGAAATAAATCATATTTAGCTAAGCGATTGCTACAGTGTCTCAAAGTGATACATGTTCAACATCTTTTCACAAGATGCTTTGTTTTCTATGCTGACTGCCAGGTGCAAAGGACAGAGCCGATAATGATTGGCAGGCAGCTAAGGAGGAGGTGCCTAGTTACAGGGTAAAGAGGTGTGGGTCTCTACATTTAATTGTATTTTCTACTCTTCAGAATTGCATATTTATTACCGTAGGTATAAGCAGACACAATACTAAAAATAATGGGATGTGACATCTCCCCTTTAAAGCTTATTTTATGGTTTCTGTTCTGTTTTTTTTGACTCGGCATCACGAGAAACAAGATTCTCACAAAGTAAACCCCTTAGATAGAGAGAAACTCTATGAGGTCTTGCATTCCCTTTCTTCCAGTTATAGCCACTGGGAAGCATTTCTGATGTGTTAAACCATGCGGGTTTCTGACCTTACAAAGTATTCCCAGAAGGACGTGCACTTATAATGTAAACAAACTGTATTCTAATAGATGTGATATATATATATATTTGTGAACTGGATCGACGGCTGAGGCATACAACAAGAATTGAGTTATACCAGTAGTAGCAAGCCGGTTGTTCTATGCCGAAACCAATGAACGTGTTAGGCCTGAAAAAGAGGACCCACCTATTGAAAGAGTATAGAAAAGGGAGAGGTGGGCGGGATGCCAAAAACGTCAGGAGGAAGCTGGGAGGAGGAGTAGATATAGGCCGGCTACACCTCACACAATTCCAGCCATCCTGCCTTCACATATGTATCTTTTCTGCCAGACTCATAGACCTGTTTAGATAGAAAAAAAAGCCATAAAGTAGGTGTTGTGTCACAAAGATTGGTAGTATGTTGAAAAATGTAGTCTTAACAAAAGTTAAAAAGGAAATAAATTTCCCTCAAGGTAAGAATGCCTTGAATGGGCAGAAAACGGCAATCACGCGCATGTTATTTTGCTCTAAGCCAAGCATCACTATATAACATTCCTTGCTGAACATAGAGAGATGGAAAGACACTATTAAAATGAGGGGTGCACCGAAATTTCGGCGGACGAAATTTTTTGCCGAAAATTGACCTATTCAATTTCGGCCAAAAATCTGTAAAATCTGCCGAAAATTAAAATTCCTATTGACAGGCCCGAAACCCGGCACTGCTCCCACTGACAGCCCCAGCACTGCCATCACTGCCAGCCCCCATGACACGGATCCCGGGTGGGGAAGCTCCTGTGCCGTTTCCAGGTGAGCGGGCTGTGCCCGGTGTCCCCAGTCTGGGCTGCCGGCCCTGGTGGGGAATGGTGGACAGGGAGGACATCCGGATGGTACCTGTCAAAGGGAATCCCACGGGGGAGGGAAACAATTGAACGCGGCTGCTGTTCACTTCACAGCTATTACCTGGGATCCCGGGATTCACCATCCGGCGGCGGAGGGGGGTCTCTGGTACCGGCTGGGAGCACCGTGCAAGACTCGGCTCTCAGACCCACCCATCAGGTGGCCCCTTCTACAAGCAATGTGTGCGGCAAATGGGGCCAGCGGGGGTTGGGGGGAATACAGGGATTCATAGCTGCTCTGTGGTTTCAAGTAAGAAAAAACACCCCTTTTTCGTGAATGGAATCTTCCATGTTACACAGAGGCCCACACTTTCTCAACTGGCATTCTAGACCCTGAGGGAGGAAGCAGGGGCTAGCTTTAGGATTGCTAAATGCACAATTTTTCTTGGACACATATCATCTCTACATAGAGGATGGTCCCCACAGGAAAAGTGCTGCCCTGTAATATTCTTAATTTAATTCTTTTTTTTTTTTTTTATGTGATTAAAAATGTTCCCCAGTGTTTAACAAAGATGTGTTTGTAATGCCTGTGATATAAAATTAAATGTTAAAATCCATATTGTTGTATTCAGCAACTTTCTGTAATTGAGCACCTCTTTCATTGTCAGTAATGGACATAGACGCTGTGGTATTTCTAACACCCACGCTCTGTCACCAGTCACCCACTCCCTCAGTCACTCTGTCACCCCCTCCATCAGTCACTGTCACCAGTCACCCACTCCCTCAGTCACTCCCTCAGTCACTCTGTCACTCACTCCCTCAGTCACTGTCACCAGTCACTCCCCCCATCACTCACTGTCACCAGTCACCCACTCCCTCAGTCACTCCCTCAGTCACTCTGTCACTCACTCCCTCAGTCACTCTGTCACCAGTCACTCCCCCCATCACTCACTGTCACCAGTCACCCACTCCCTCAGTCACTCCCTCAGTCACTCTGTCACCAGTCACTCCCCCCATCACTCACTGTCAACAGTCACCCCCTCCCTTAGTCACTCTGTCACCAGTCACCACCTCCCACACTGTGTCTAATAGTCTAATATTAATAAAATTATAGAAAAAACTATTTTAAAATCATTTGGGGGGAAAAAAGTAATTTTCGGTTTTCGGCCAAGGGCATCCTGAATTTTCGGTTTCCGTTTCAGCCCTGATTCACCCATAATTAAAATATAAATATATATATATATATATATATATATATATTAATTTTTTGCAAGATTGTTTGCCAAACCTTTTGCAAACGATTATAAATCAAAATCCAGTCATTTTATATAATAAGACATGTTCAGCCTTCGGAAGTTTATTTTTCATACACTAAAACCACTATGCTATCCATACCAGGACTTATGGAAACAAGGATCGCGTCTTTTCAAACACGCAAATGACATGTCGTCTGAAGTCCACACCGCTGGACCCTTTAAAGAGTGTCTTGAATTTCCTCCAGAAGTTCCCCTGGTTGAATGTTTGTTTTAGTGGCTACAAGCACCAGATTCCTGGGTGAAAATCGTGGCTTAAAAAGAGGGATCAGATCACAGTGAAATCCTGAAAAGAAATTGGAAATTGCAAAAAATGTATTGACAATATATGCACATATGAGATATGAAATGAAATACACTGTATATAATATTGTTTTAGAAGACTGTCACAAAACTTGTACGAAGCAAAAAAAGACTGAATCTCTCTCAGATTGATTCACAAAGCCCCGAATTGTAGTGAATTAAACTTCAAATTGCAAAATACAGACAAAAAAAAAAAAAGCTGATCTGGAAAGCTTTTCACAACTAGCTGTAGTCACAACTTGGCTATTTCTGCCTACATCTTGTCATTGGGGTTTTAATATTCTACAATATGGAGTTTAGAGAATAACCCTTTCTGACTGTATCTTGTCAAAAAAACAAAAAAATCTCACCCAGCACAAAATACAGACTGGCGGCCACACACACACATATACCATACACAATTCTGATAAAAATTTACAATTTAGCCAAGGGGAGCCTTGTGTAAACATGCCTGTACACCCAAATGGTCAGACATTATTGTTTATCATATTAATATGGTAATAAAAACCTTTTATATTTTTAGGCAAGGCTTCTAAAGAGAGGTCAAAGGAAGTATTTTGGGTAGAAGCTAGCGGTTTGCATTGAACACATTCTAGAACCATATAATAAAATGCTGCCAATATCTGCTCTTGTAAAATACATAGCATTTAAAGGAAGTGGGACATGACATTTTGCTCGTGGGAAGTTCAGTAATGTTTTCTTTGAAAAAGCTGAATATGAGAAGATGTAAATTTCAAATCGTGCCAAGATAGGAATTCTAGATCATAGTAAAATGCCTAAAAAAGGGCCACACCATAAACATAACATTAGGCGTCTGTGACACTCACCTTCCTGATGCATAAAGATCATTCGGTCTAATAGTATGAGCGTTTCCACCAGTGGTGCCAGCAGGAGGGCCAGACTGAAAAAGGCCACCACATTCTGCTGCTGGGCTAGCATGTTTCCCACTAACTCTTCACATACAGGAGTATTGGGATCCAGCCCGACACGCCTCAGTCCCAGCATGGCATATCTGAAGCGAACAAAGACACGGTTTGCCCAGGTTTAAATCCAATGACCTAAATAGTATACAATACATGCCTTCATTGATCTGTTTTTTTTCTATTTTTTTGAATTAGACTACGGATGTTTTCTACATCCTGAAGAGGATGAACCAAGAAAATGGCCCAGGCACTCCATCATGGCACATTTCCCAGGGACATCTAGGTTTCTCCACCAAAAATGTGAGATTAAACAGTTTATTGGAATATATATATTTTTTTTTATAGAAAATTCATATATAAAACACTCAAAAAATAAATAAATTACGAGTTATCTTTATGATTATTTTAGAAGTATCTATGGAATCTTTGACACTGTGGTACATCAATCACATTAAATATGCATTTACTCTATAACATGTATGAGGCAACAACTTAAACACAATTAATTAATTTAAAAAAAAACACCAGGATGTTAAGTATAGCTTAAATTATCCTATTAGTTTCACAACAATGATACATTTATTAAGTAATAATAATGAGGAGGATTTCGTATGAATAGTACTTACTCCTTGAACTTAAGCTCATGCGCCTTTTTAATTGTTTGCACTCCAGCGCGTTTCATGGTAGGATCAACACTGCGAATAACAGTCTCTAACACGGCTCTATAACAGTGGGTACGCAAAATACTGCTGTCCGTTCTCAGTCTCTCTATGTAATCCTCTATGGCATGGCATGCCACCTCTCGGGCTTTGTAAGATAGCTTATGCCCCTCGAGCTGTGCTACCCATGAGCTCATAGGATATCCATACTCTGCATGGGTTATATCACGTGCGTGAGAGGAAGACAAGACTCCAGGTGGTTCTGGCATTTCAGGAGTTGTTAACTTCATGTAGCAGCAAGCGACTGATGTGATGCCCACCACACAGTGACATCTCACAAAGTGTCGTAACATGGCTACACTCAGGTCGCCACATGCATGGAGTCCTGTTAATAAAAGCTTGTTGCTCTGTGAAAGATTGCAACATCGGAACATGTTTACAACAGGACAGGAATGTGTGTCATCTTTAACAATGTTGTCATCTGTTATATTTGAGTGAAATACACAGTTTTCAGAATTTTCTTGTCCAATGAAATGTGAAGTAGTTTTGTTAGTTTCACCTCTCCTGAATTCTTTAATTTTTTCAAGTTTGTTATTAGTTACTGGCAGGGTTTTTCCCATTTCAGTTTGTTTAGAAGCTGGCTTCTGTGTACAAAACCCAAAACTTGACGTGTAGAAGTGGCCAGTGTCTTCCTCTAAAGATGAACCAGTTAGCTTCATCATCAGCTCTTCCCATGATGCCTTGGGATCTATCCATGCTAACACGTGTTTGGGAGGATTGGCAGAGTGGAAACTTTGCAAAATATTTTGCTTAAAGATGAAAAAAAATAACATAAATAAACAAAATTGTGTATACAGCTTGATACACGACTGACTTATCACATTTACCATCCCATATCATTTAATTTATTTTCCCATATTATATTTTATGTAAAATCAGTTAACTTGATAGTAACACAGAGAAAGTTTGTTTAGCACCAGTATGTGTATATATCTCACTGTTAACAACGTGTCAAAATTCTGCCATGGTCCATGATGCTTTTCAGGTTAAGAGATTAAAATTATGTTGACCAAGCAATCTGAGATAAAACATTTGGTTAATGATGAATATGTGACATAATTCCATCACTATATAATCCACAGGGTAGTAAATGGCAACAGCTTGCAACAATACTATAGTGTCTAAATTTTACATTAACTATTACCAAGACCACAGTCATGAGAAAAAGAACGTACACTCTCTTTGAATTCTAAGGTTTTACGTATCAGGGCATTATAACAATCATCTGTTCTATAGTAGGTGTTAAAAATAGGTAAATACAACCTTAGATGAGCAACAACACATGACATATTACACTGTTGTCATGATTAATTTAACAAAAATAAAAACAAAATGGAGAAGCCATGTGTGAACAACTAAGTTCCCCTTTACTGCTTCCATTGAAATTAGGAGGCTAAGTAGCACAAATGTACTGCTAATCAAATACCATTGATTACATGATCATTAGCAAGTGTTACCACCACTTATAAAATCTGAAGTTTTAGCAGTTTGCTGGTCTGGATCATTCAGATAGGTGTTAACGCAGTGATGCAGAGGAAAGACATCAGAGAAGCAATTATGCTGCCCATTTACCTGGAAAAGGTTATAAGGCCATTTCCAAACAATTTAAAGCACATCATTCTGTAGTGAGAAAGATTAATCAAAAGTGGTAAACATTCAAGACAGTTGCCAATCTTCCCAGCAGTGGACGTCCCAGCAAATTCACCCTGAGGTCAGACCGTGCAATGCTCAGAGAAATTGCATATAACCCAATAGTTACATACCAGACTCTACAGGCCTCAGGTTTACTTAATTACAGTACAATTAGACAAGACTGAACGAGTATGGTTTCTTTAGA